CATCAATGCCCCTGTTTTAAAATTCCTGGAGGGGACGAAAACCTGGAAATTGCAGCAGATGCGTCAGACTATGCGTGGGGGCGGTTCTTATGCAAAATAACCATCCTCTGTGGCATTTTTTAGTAAAACGTTGAATCAGACACAAAGGAATTATACAGCTACAGAAAGAGAAACATTAGCCGTATTAATGGCTGTACACAAATTTCGAGTTATTTCGGCAAAGCGCCAGTAACAGTCTTTTCGGATCATGCGGCTGTTGGTAGACTTTACTCGGGAAAAACCTAACGCCCAGGTTAATAAGATGGGCTTTAAAACTCCAAGAATATAATATCAGAATAAAATATATAAACCGGGTAGGAAAACAATGTAGCTGACCCACTTTCTCGTAATAAAACTGGACGATGAAGGAAATGATAACTTAAATGCGCTGTGTTGACTTCAAAAATTTAGATTCTAGAGATACGATTATCACTGAACTGAAAGCTGATCCTGAATTTGGAAATATCTATGCATATTGAAAGACCCCGAAAGCTTTGAGCACACAGATATCGATGCGATAAGAAATAGAGCAGAAAACTATGAAATAATAGATAATTTATTATTTTATACGAAAACAACAAACGAAAATCTTCAGTATAAAGCAGTCATCCCAGCCTTTCGCTTCGATTAAGCATTTTGAAGGAATACAACACGACGCGAAAACAGCGGGTCATTTAGGGGTCAGAAAGACTTTAAAAAGGTACGCGAGGCGGTATATTTCCCGCATTATACAAAATAGTAACTGCGTAGTCAGGTCCTGCAATCAAAGCCAGTTAATAATGATGATATTAATTACAGCCCGGCCGGGTACTTAATAGCATTCGCGTCACATTTCCGAATGAAATTTTAGGCCTAGATCTTCCCCCAGAGCGAGTTAAATAAAAATCGTTTCTTTTAGTAATAGTAGATCATTTTTCAAAATGGACAGAAATTGTTCCACTTAAACGCGCGTCAGCCAAAACAGTCGCAGATGCATTCTTACACAGATACATTTTAAATACGGTGCACCGATAAAAGTCATTAGCGATAACGGAAAAACAATTCATTAGTCAAATATTTGAAAACATATGCAATGGACTTTTGGCATACGCCATATCAAAATGGTTCCGTATAGACCACAGGCAAAACATAGCAAAGAGTGAATAAAAACATAGTAAAAATAATTCGCAGTTACGTGAGCACACATCACAAGCGCTGGGATGGCTACATAAATGAATTAGCTTATGCTTTAAGAACGGCAAATCACGATACTACTGGAAAAAAACGCCAGCAGAATTATTTTTTTAGGCAGAAAGTTAATTACGGCCTTTAGATATCATCTTTTGTGCAACAAAGAAGAGCAAGAGTTTTAAGCAGAAAGATGTGCAAAAACTTATTGATCAGGCGCTTAAAAAGCTCGGATACGGCAAGAAATAAGCAAAAAGCATATTATGATAGAAAACGCCGTGAAGCAGATTTTAAAGTTGGGGATAAAGTATTGAAGTGGAAATTTTCTTATCAAGTGCCCCCAGACAATTTACGGCAAAGCTAGCTCCAAAATTTGAAGGCCCCTATGTAATTCAGGAAATCAAGGAGTCGTATTATATCTTAAGAACGAGAGAGGGGAGATCTTAAAGCAAGTCCCGACCAGGTGAAAAAAATACTATAATCCCAATGATTTTGAAATCCTTAAAAGGTTTTCTTGCAGGACTCAAGTCTAACGAAGTAGAAGGTCCAGAAATAACAACTGTTCCACCACCCAAGAAGCAGAGAACTGAAGAGAGACCTAGCCCTTCTACAACCCGGACACGGTACCAAAAAAGAAAAAAAAAAACTTTCAAACTCCAGCATTTAAGAAAAACAAAGAATACAGATGCACCGCGTAAAGAAACCGTGGTAAAGAGCAAAACACCACCACTACAACGGATCGCAGTAGAAATTATCATCAAGGAGAACGCGCCCAGGGCCAGAGAGTCAGGTGCCAGCAAGGCCGCCGTTCCGGAAACTGAAACGGCAGCAGGAGGAACAAAAATACCAGGAACAACAGAAGAAATTCAAGAAGGACTCCAGACCGGAGGACGTCAAGACCAGCCGTCAAATGGAAAAACGGAAACGACAACAACCAGACGATTACTCCGCCAAGAGGCCAGCACGCAGAGGACGCAAAACAAAAACTAATGTGGACGACACTCGGAGGTCAGTAAGGAGAAGATTGACATCCATGAAACCTATAACTTGGGAACAATATTGCCAGAAAAGAATGACGGAGTTTCAAGATCGAAAAACTCAAAGATAAGTTAAAATCTTCTATAATTTTTTTTTTCTCTTTTGTTCCGAAATGTTATGCATAAGTACGAAGTTCTATGTTTTTGACGAAAGTCAATATGTCTCGGTTGAAGACTAGTTTTGTTTACTTTATTTAGCTAAGGCGAAAGTATTATTTTCTTTAAGTATAAAAGCTAAGAAAAGAGCATTTCTGTTGGTCGAAAGACTAATTCTGTTAGGTTTTAAAGCCAAAATTTGGCCGAAGATAAAAATAACGTATTCTTGTATTAATAAGAATTTTAGTTTCAGTGCCGCCAGCTTGGCGAAGAATGAGTAAAGTAAAAATTATTTTTCTCTTATTCATTTTTGGTAAATTGTAAAAATCATATGTATTAAAATTTTGTAAATGTACGTAAATACTTGAATGTTATGTAAAAGTAGAATTTAGTCTAGAAGCATAAAATTTTAGATGCTAAAAGTAAAATGCTCAAAAGAATGAATTCAAAATTTAAGTATTAAACTGTAGATAAAGTCACATGCTTAGAGCGAAAGCCTGCATGTTTAAAGATGAATGAGGGGGAAGTTAGAATGAATGTGTTTTTGGGTTCTCCCCTACACTTGAATTTTAAGAATGTTAAAGTAGCTTCATCGAGTTGTAGAATGTCGAGTAAGGTGTGTCTATTTGGTCGTTGAATTCTAACAAATCATGGTGGTTAGGGGAAGGTTGTAAGATGAAACAGGAATATTCCCGCTTGACACCACACATGGTGGAGAGCAGGGTAAAGTTAAATTAATGCTTGAAAAAATTGAATGAATGTGAATTAAGCAATAACTAAGGAAAACGAATCGTTTAAAAACAAAAATTTATTGTGTCAAGAAAGTGTAAATTATAATGTATTTTAAAGATACTGATACTTATTCCTTCCAGATGATGGAAGGAAAAGACCAAGATTGATTGATGAAGTCCAGGAAAAGTTGCTGTAAGAAGAGAGAGTTATAAGTATACACAGAAATTTTATAAAATTTGTTACATAAGATTTTTTTTTTTTTTTTTTTTTTTTTTTTTGTAAACGAGGGTTCTCGAGAGTTTAGTTCAGAATTATAAAACTTACAACAGTCATTTGTAGGACTGCTTCCAAGTTTTTCCAAATCTGGCAGCGGCAAATGTAGGGTTTATATTTTATTTTAACTAACATTATTTTAAGTTTAAACTAACCTTTCCTGTCAAGCCTTACTTTCCCCTGGAACTGCCAATGCCAGAGTATGTAAATTTAGTAGAACGCGCAAGGATTCAATTATCAGCGAAATATTCTGAGTTAAATAGAAAGGAAACGAGTTCGAGGTGCGCTGTTCTTACTTACGAGCGCGGAGGTAGTTAGCCAGAAATTGAATAACCCCGCGTTTCGGCTGTGTGCTTGCCTGGAAGTATTGTTAATCTTTCAACGTGATCTTCAAGTTTGCTGAATTAGCAGCGGTATTGTAAAACGCGGTGAGGTTAGTTACTTTTAGAGAGCCTCGTAGTTAGAGTCTTGTCTTAGTTTCTTTTTTAGGTTATTATTTTTATTTCCGCCAAGTTGCGTAGTTGTGAGCGTCAAGAGCACGCACTTGTGATTTATTACGTTGAATAAAAAGGGACTTAAACCCTTAACAAGACTCTGTCTTTTATCCAGTTTCAACAGTCACCTCTTGGTTGCGTGCAAGTTGGAGGCGCGCAACGCTAGAAGTTTATTAGATTAATAATAGCAAAATATGATGATAAAATGTTGATAGCAAAACGTTGACGAACTATAACATCCTTTAAAACTTTTTGCTGAATGAGTAGAGTCTATAAATATCACTCTTCCTGAAAAAAAATCATTACATTCTAATTTTTCCACTATTTTGTTTTAGCAGAAAAACTGAGACATCATTAGCGTCGCTGATTGCCGAGCCGCAGGACCCGGGTTCGAATCCTGGAGAAGGCATGAATGTTTGTAAATGTATAGTGTCCATGCGGCATGGAGGAACTCTAAATATGTACCGAGCCGTAAATTGTCTGGGAATGCTGGTGGTAGGGGAAGAGGGGTGGGAGACACTCGGACCCAATCCCTCCCCCCCCCCGCTGTACTCTCCATCAAATTTGGGAGCAGAAGTAAGTTAAATCTCACTGAAACCTGTAAAGTGCTCAAGGCTGTCCCCTACGCCAAGAGCAATCTTGCGTAAACTTGCGCTCCTCGCCACGAGCAATTTCGTGGGCTTAAGCTTACTATAGGTCAGACAAGTGAACATTAACAAGAATAGCAACTAAGACATCATTCAAAGACATCAGAAATGTCAGGTCTGCCAGTTGATAAAAAATATTGCATTAATAATACAGTTTTATAATTAAATTGCTGTATAATTTTCATAACAAATTAACTGAGCCCTTCTTATTTAAGGCTCCGAATGGCTCCGCTTGGAGTTATGATTTTAGTGAAAACCAAGAAGTACCAGAGTCGGGCTCTGTCTGAATTAAACTCTATTAAAAATACGAGTATCTCTGTTTTGCTTACGGCGGAAAAAAAAGGAAGAAAACAACTTCCATACGAAATGTAAATACCAGAAATATTTATAGCGTTAACCAAGGAAAAACGCCATACTCGCACACAGCCAAACTGTTTTATAATTATAGACTATACATTTAAATTTAGTAAATAAGGCATTAAAATATCTCACTGTATAACTGTTTCTATTCACAGACAGGTGCGGAGAAGACGAAGAATTTCTGAACTGTGGTTCTGCATGTCCTCCTTCCTGCTCAAACAAGGACAGATCAGCTCCTTGCACTTTACAATGTGTGAAGGGATGTTTCTGCAAAAGAGGTCTTGTTAGAAATCAGCATGGAAAATGCGTACCGCCAGATGCATGCCCAAAGGAAAGTAAGATAATCTCAATTTTTTTAATAATATATGACTATTGTCATTTGTATAGTTAAGTATTTATAGTAATGGAAAAATTAAATTTGATTGAATGTGTATTTCAGGATTCAAAGGTAGGGCAAGAACTGACTGAAGAGGAAACATTTTATCTATGTCTCATTCAGTTTTTTCTTTCTTTCTTATATTTAGTCTTCCTCTCTATACAATCATTAAGTTTTTCTTTTTTTTTAATCAACTGTGAAAATGTGTAGTTCCCTCTCCGAGATTAATTTCGGACCTCTTGATTGCTAACCAACCGAGCTTCCAATTACACCCGTAGACACGCGGTAAGGAGGGAAAAAATACATCACATTCTCTCCCACTCGTGACGAATTTTCGTCTATCACTTGTAGAGCTATTTAGAATTTTTCCATCAGGGAAGGTGAGACAATTTTCTATTCTTTCGCGCCGAGATTCAAACTGCAGACCTTCCGACTGCTAGGCGGATTTGCTTCCAATTACATCGCTTAGGCATATAGTAAGGAATGAGAAAATATCTTACGTCTGCACCTTTATCAGTGCTCATAAACTCTACATGGTTCTTAAAACACGAGACATTAAATTTCAGACTCATTAACGGCTATTGTTATGATTCAAATTTTGAAACACTGACTATCATAAATTTTATAAATTGTTTTAATACATGGAAAAGAAATGCGACAAACCCCTTCCTCGTGCAGCTCTCAATATTTATTTCCATTTGTAAAAAAGCAAATAACTTCCATTCTAGCCTGCAAGACCATATTTTAAGCCAAAGCCCATATTTTAGTGTCTAATTTGAACAGTAAGAAAATTTTAAATTTGAACACCAAATATAAAAAATTAAAATGACTTCTGTTTACAGTTGCTAGCAGCATGCAAAAAAGCTCCTTAATTAATTACAATGAGCCCTCGACCCACCATCTTTCAAGCGTATTGGAGAAATTCTTTCGATACTAATCTTAATAGACAGCACAAAATAGATTTTCTATTTAAATAAGCCACTATCCAGCAAGGAAACGGCAGTAATCATTTACGATGGGTAAACAATTGTTGAGTCTGATATCGTTTGCAATATATAAGTCTGTGTTTTGTCTTTTCAATGGCAGGCTACCTTATTTTTTTATGCTCTATAGCTGCTCCAAGTTTGTTGAATGGAATTAATTAGTTGTTTAGTTTAAACTAATACTCGCTTCGGTGATTTGTCGAGTACAGAATTTACTGCTCTTCATTGTTTTCGAGATAATGTATTTCTTTTAGCTATTAGTAATCCTTCAAAATTTAGTGAAATGAAGTTGCACAGCACTGGAAAACATATTAGTTCTTACGACTGATAGTTATTAAAATTTATTTTTATATGTGAATGACAGGTTTTACTCTCTTTCGATAAAAAAATGCCACTGCTTTTCAATAAAAAATCGCAAATTTCTCTTTGATTCTTGGCTGAATTTAACTCAATTGAAAATAAGATTTTTCAAAATTTAAAATGTTTTCATACTTCTCATTGCTTCCACTTAACGCACTGTAAAATGGTTGAAATTCTTGGTGAAATTGGGCACTTCCTCTTCGTCATGTTTATCATCTTCATCTTTTTTTCAATACTCCTAGAAGAACAAAATGGAGAATGAATTTTGAAACCGCGAAAGGTAACAGAAATAAATTAATGAAAACTAACAGAAATATATGCTATCTGCATTTGGTATTGAGAACCGATTCCTGTGGGTTTGGTTTGGTTTGGTTTATTTATTTATGGCAAAGCACACTAGGGCTATCTGCCTAAGGGAAGGGATGCCTTCGTGGAGGACTTTCTAAGAGAAACTGGCTCTTATGCACCCAATTCCTGTGGGAAAACGTTATTTAGGATATGTTAACACTTGTTAGACGCCAATGTAGAATTAAGCACTTATTTCTGCCTGCCAGCATCCGTTACAGCTGATACAGCTACCATTCTCCCGCCGTTTATCGGCGGCCGTCTGCCCTTCTTTTACATTTAACCGCCACTTCACGAAAGCATCACCATCTACAGGTTAGAATTGCAATGATTGTACGCCTGATCAACTCATTATGGTCAACGATCAACAAATATGTTAATAGCGACATTAGCCGATAGATGGCATGACTGATGCTATTTGCTGTATTGCTAGAATGGATTTATTTATTACCACTGAGCAAGCTTCTGACTAAGGGTAACACCAAGCAGAACAGTGCCTGCTCAGCGAATAGATCTACTATCCAGTAGCCGCCACCATGAAGATAGGGCTGACAGATCAGACGACAGTTATTTACAAAATCAGAAGGTACATAGAGTAGTAGTTTGCATAAACAATGATATCTCAAGGGCCATTTACACTAGCGGAACTTTGAGCCTAAGAAACGCAGGCGAATTTGAAGACTCTTTTGAGAGCTTTTAAACAGCAATTTTTTCGTATTATGAGGAAATATTTAACTCTTAAACTCTTGAATAATGTTATAAGTTAGGCTGTTTATTTAAATGTATACATATTCAGTTTCAGTTATAAAAAAAGAGTAACATTTTCGCAATTTAGTGAAGCTAGCAACTTCCGCGTGCATTTCTTAGACTCAAAGTTCCGCTAGTGTAAATGGGCCTTTACATTCCCATATGCAATGTATAATTCAGAGTTATAAGCAGGTACTTAATATAATAAAGAAACAGTTGCGGAATAAATTTTACAGGTACTTAATTTAATAAATAATAATAATAATGAATAAATAAATAAAAATAAAATAAATAAAAAAACAAAGAAAGAAATAAATGAATGAAATAAATAAGCTTTTTCCAGAGATTGCTTGCTTAGCTAATTGATGAGTATTTATATCGTTTATTACAGAACAGCAATATTTTAGTCAGCTTAGTAAGAGCTCCTTTGGTTTGTCGTGTTCTTGCCCTTTGTCTATGATAGAACGTCGAGAAATCTAGTGAAATTTGTAGCGACTCATCGCTTAGTTCAAAACAATTAAGATGTAGACTCGAGAAGTGTTAAAATACCCTTTTATTCACTCAAATAAGAATAACAGTTGGCCCGTTCTCGGGCTTACAGGAAGACCTCTACTCGAGCTTTAACTCAGAAATAAGAAACAAAGTTACTACTAGCTAAACTAGACTTAGCCGAAGCTAGACACAGTTATCTAACGTAGTTGGCCCTTAAATTAAACTAGCAGGTGCATATCAGTGGGCAAGTACAATACGGCCGAGCGTAACAGCTTCCAGAATGACTTAGCCAGAAGGCAAACACGCTCCTCTAAGAGCTCGTAGCACTCTCTATCTAAGTAAGCGGAACCTTTCTTAAATACTTCTTCTAACTCATTTGCATTCAACGCGAATCTAAAACCTCATTCTGGTAGGGAGTTGTAAGTGGAAACCAGAATTGAAAGGAAAGGGTTTCAAAATTAAAATAACTGTTATGAAATTAAAATATACCTTACAGGTTTTTAATAGATGTGAAGTCCATTGTTCCCAGCACTGATCAAATGGCTGGGTCATGTGAACAGGTTTCGTAAGACAACAGGAAAAAGCAAAATGGTCCGGAGTTCCTTGCTGTCCTCATTCACAAGAGTCCAGTTCTGTAATACCGAATAAATGAAGATATGTTGGGAAAGGTCTACGGCATGACAGAAAAGTAGTCAATGCAGAGAAAAATGTAAGCATCTTAATAGAGACATGGAGACAAAAACTAAAAGTCCGTCTTCCCATTGTTAAAATATTCCATCTGAATTGCCAGAGTTTTATTAAGTGCTTGTAGGTAATCCTTTTTAAGAAAGGAACTTGGCAGGGGCAAAGGATGTTCCAGGAAGTTCATGCCAGTTGCTGGTTGCTTAGCATGTTCGTCTGCAGGCTCATTGTTAAATATGTCCGTGCGTGCTGTGACCCAGCATAACCGTGGCCGAAATTCTGGCGTTACGCTGAGGAGTACTTTTTGCAAGTCTATGACTGGCGGATTTCTAGGATTTATGTCATCAGCTAGATTAGACTAGATGAAGAGTCACTACGTATATGGGCCTGTGTCTCGACTGTATAAGAGGATTTATTAGCTTTCTTTATTGCCGTCAATTCAGCGTGAAATATTAGGTTACGATTATCTTCTTTTCAAAGTATGTTTCAGGACATCATTTAGCATGACACACAGTCCACAGCCTGTGCTCACCTCAATACACGAATCATCTGTGAAAAGGCGATCTCTTGAGTTGTAACTGACGTGGTCTAGAGAGAATGTAGGAATGGAGGTCATTGTAGGAATGCTGGGAAAGATAATCTGAATTTTTTGCCTCGTAATCCGAAAGTTAAAAGGGCTCGTTCTATAGAATGATATGTTGGTTCAATCGTAATATATCGTCGATGTACTAACAGTCCAAGATATTCATCTCTAAATCTTTTACGAAATTCTACACGCAACTTTTGGTAATACCGCCATCTTTTTGATAAGTTGATTTTATCCAAACAATCCAGATCCGGAACACCTTCAGTTCGCACATTCTGAATAAACATAGATTGAGTGAATGCACATAAATCCGTGGAATCTTCTGACTCGTATGTTAATGGTCTGGAGTTTATATTTGCTTCTGCATGACATAGGATAGTTAACATTTCTTCATATGAAAGTAATGCTTTTCCCAGGACTCTTCTCAATAATTTCTTGTTTCTTGATCATCTGAACCAATCTCTCCCACCAGCCGCCCCACCATGCTGCGGTTGGTGGATTTAACTTCCAGTGAATTTTCATTGTCGAAAAACTTCTGATAATTTGGTTCCAGTCTTTAGATCGGAGTAAATTCCTTGCCCCTACAAAAAATTTGTGCAGGCACAAATTTTGTAGGGGCAAGGAATTTTGTTGTCGCTGTATACTACTCTAGGCCGTCCTCTTCGTGCTATGAATCTTCGAAATCCGAGAAAAAAATCCATTAGTCGATAAGCTTTCAATTAATTCTAAATGAACCGCACGATAAACTCCACATGTGAAAAGCAA